TGTGTGTGTGTGTGTGTGTGTGTGTGTGTGTGTGTGTGTGTCAAATTACATAATTTTAATATAATACATTTTAGATTTCCATATTTAATAAATACTACATTGATATTTTTATTATACAAAAAAAAGATAAATAAAATAAGACTTTTCTCAAACAAAATTTTATATATAATAATATACATTGGTTAATTTTTATACACATTTTCTAAAATATATAAATTTTATTACATTTTACAAAATTTATTAAAACAAATAAAAATTCTTAAATTTTATCTTGTTTATAATCTCTTCTCAAGTACATATATAAAAATATATAAGAATGATGTTCTGCGCATGTCTGAGCCTTATTCTGCGCATGTGCGAAAAGTTGTATATATTTCTTGACCAATTAAAGGGACAAAGTTAACAGTCTAGTATATTGTATAGAAGTCTGTGGGTCTGTGCATATTAAAGATTGCTACATATGAAATATTAAATGTAGTAGCATAATATTACTTCTTTGATAATGAAATTATTAATTCATATTCAGCTAAATAATACGACAAATTCATTGTTGATTATTTATATAATTGTTTTGAAGTATTTACATATTTTTACATTTGAATAATTTTATGTATATCAACGTTTAGTGTGCACCAACCCAGTGTAATGCAATGAATCGAATCCGTTATAAATAAATAAACCTAGATCCTCATGCAGCACCAACGCTTTAACACATATACTGATTGGTGAAAAATGAGTAGTGGGGATAAACGACGAATGAATCTTTACTATTTACTCCCATTTTTCACCAATTAGCGCTCGGTCAAAACGTCAGTATCTGCATGAGGATCCAGATTAAAACGCGGCCATGACTACTCTCATGCGTTAGATTAGAGACACTACAATCAGAGATTGGCCACAACCACAGATGTCTATACTAAACTAGATTGCTAACATGTCATTATCGAGACAGTTTGCGTCCGATAGGGTTTCCGTTGTATGCGAGAAAATGGTCGCTGCCGCCACATATTTAAAATAGTTATTACGTGTAATATTCAATAAAGTTTTGTAATAATTATTGTTTCACTCAAACAAATTGTGTAAATTAC